ACTAAGATTAATTTTTTCAGGACCCTGAGGTATTCCCAGGTGTTTGTATCTTCAGGCTATGAGACCGATCAGATTTTTCCGAACGGAATTGATGGGTTTGAGACATAAGCCTAAACACATTTAAAGGCTTCAGCGCAGACGGAGCGAGTTGCTTGATCTGACATAAGGATATACCCAACTCAGTTCTTTGTGACAAAGTGTTTACTAGGACACTTCACCTATGCAACCTGTACATGATGGCCAGTTTGTACCTTCAGGCATTTTGCGTTTTAATAGCATAGTGAACATTTATTCTTAGCTTTTTCTGCTGGTTTACTTTCTCCCAGAATATTTGAGCTGGCAGAGTGGAGTACATGTGCTACAACTTCATGACAAGCATACAGTGCTTTGTTTGGCCTTTGCCTAGGGGTGGTTTAGATCTTCCTGAAGCTAGTTGCAAGAATCTGATGGCCAACTTGGAGTTGGAAAAGCTCCGCCTTTGAGGGATAGTAAAATTTGGCAACTACAATTATGCATTAAGGTAATGTCAGATCTAACACATTTATGCACTACACAGAGTGTGTGGAAAGATTACTGAAAACAGCATTAAGTTGTTTTTCCCCAGAGTATTCAGTTATCTACATTGCTTCTCAAATCAGTGAGCGGAATTACGACCTAGTATTTCTAATTAGCACTTGGGAGATGTATCCAACGTCCTCTCCTGATTTATGATAGAAAATAGGTGCTCAACATTTTGAAATAGAATTCAGCATGGTTTACTGTAAATGAATAATCCCTCATTTAGAATGCATTGAAGATTTATTTATATTGCTTCCCCTAATAGCTTACCTTTCTATATATTTTGAACTGTTCTGTAGCTACAAAAGTAGCCTTGTAATCATTAAATCAAGGCATAGCTTGAAATATTGACCTGATGTTCCATTAAACTGCAATGAACATTTTTATGCAAGTTCTTAACTATAAGGCTACCATTTTAAGCAATGATGTTTGTTTTTATAAAGCAAGTGAAATGTTGACAAGGCTTTGACTTCTGAAAGTGCTGTATTCATTACTATTTGTCTTGCACAGTTATAGTGCGCTTTATGCAGATGTGCCTCAGATCACTATATTTATATCTTCTTGATGCATTTTTATACTTTCCCAGCTATCTTGATATGGCCATCTTATTTATGAAGAACAGAAATAAGCAAGATTCGTATATCAGGGTGTGGCTGAAGATAAATAGATAGTTGGATTTGGGGAAAACGTTTTTTCTTTTGATTTGTAATTGCATCCTAAGGGGTTCTCTTGTGCACTTTTATTTATTTTTTTCTGAGCAGAGTTGGTTTCATAAGGTTGGGGTGAGGAGGAAGGCTTGTTGCAATTCTGAGTTAACATCATGGCTTTTGAAAAGTTATCACTGCCCATTTGGTCAACTGTTTGCATCAGGAGAGAAATGGTTGCTTCAGGAGAAAAATAACTTGGGAACAGCCGTTTATCCTGCTTGCATCTCGGACAAACTTTTTAGTCCCTAGGTAATGGTTTGCTTTAGAAAGCCAATTTGCCTGTTAAGCTTGGATTATTATTATGTTTTGGTTTATTTAGTGAAATAATGATAGGATGAGGAAAACGGATCTGGGAGAGTTTTCTTTCAGGGTGGTGTCCTGGACATGTCTTGCCAGTTCAGTCATTAGGAATTTAAAACATGGTGGGCTAACATGTTATCACAGATGCTGTTACTTTTATTGGTCTCCTACCTGCCTCCCTGCAGTTTATCTGCATGATTTAAGGCATCAAAAGAAGCGTAACTTTTTAAAGTGGCATGGACCATAAGGAATCAAATGCAGCTTTTATAAACGTGTTTTACCTGGGATGCCAAATAGTAAAATGTTCTGTGATGATAACTGCCTGGTTCTTGCATTGGAGGTGTACAAGGCAGAGCAGAGGTGACTTGTATGTCTAAGTCCACCCCTTAATATGTTTGGATTTCTTTAACAAATTAAACCAATACATTCGGTGTTGTTAGAATTAACTCTATACTAAACACTATAACTGTCTGAAGTGAGCTTTTTGTTCATGAAAGCTTATGCATGCCTGATTCTTTTAGTCCTATAAAGTGCATCTCTACACTGCTTTCTACCTGATTTCAGAGTAATGGCTTTCTCTAACCACATCTAAGTAATATAAAGTAAGTATAACTGGAATTCTCTTGGTTTTTTGCCTTAAATATAAGAACTCCTTATACAAGATAAAAATACAGGTATTTGCAATTCTCAAGTCACATAGTGCCACCCCTGACTAGATTGTTTTAAAATCTTTGTTGCCAAACCTGCAACTTCATATATCTGTTCTTTCAGGATTGAGGTATATATTACAGAGGGTGTGTATTACGCAAGTGTATTGCTCTATGTTGAGTTTTGATCTCATTTCAGATGGTAGTTTTTATTTGCTATGCTGCCTTTTCTCCCATGTGCAACTCTATCATTATCCTTATTGACAGCTAAGACAAAATATTAATTTAGTTTTTGACCCAAACCTAGAAAAGCTGACCTCATACCTGCTGATTTTTCTGACTCTGGCCATGTACAGACATTCGGTTTCTTTTGGGGGAGTTGCTGTTCTCCCAGAAGAAACACAAGTTTACAGGTATCCTTGCTTCTCCTCACAGAGCAAAAATGGTTGCTTCAGGAGAAAAATTAACCTGAGAACAGCCAAGGTTAAATCATTCCCAGGAGAGTTTTTTTCCTGGGAGAACGAATGTCCTGTAAATGCTATGGCTTCTCTTAGAAGAGAATGTGGTCCTTAAGCATCCCTTCCCTACCCCCAAACCTCAGGAGACAGTGTGTTGCTCACTGGATTCTGCTGCTCCAGCAGGAAGCAGAACACACCCGTTTCACAATCCCCACATTGTGCTGCAGGGAAATACAAGCTGACCAGAGGCAGTCTAGCTCTGTCACTCAGGGTTGCCTTGTGTGCTGTGGTCATCTTTCACCAGGCAGACTAGGGGAGCCTACAAAGCATGCTGAGGTTGTATAAACAGGGCTGCTGCCCGCCCCCTCCAGTGCTGCACAGTGCCAGCACTGCAAGCTCTCCATTCTCAGGGCTTCAGCATATGAATGCATGCTGCTCTGGGCAAGTTTTTGTTTTGGTTTTTTTTTCCTACTGGAAGAACAAACCCGAGGGAATTTTTTTCTGGATTATCTGTGTGTACAGAGCATCTGTGTGTACAGCAGGAGAACCTTATGCAGTCTGAGCCAACTCACCATGGCTTTAGTAATTCTCACTTTAACACTACAGTTTCTAACCACTGAGGACTCATTTTCTTTGCTGACCAGTCCCTTCTTCCCAGTCCTTGTTGTGTTTCCATTTAGTTTGAAATGTCTTTCTTCAGGTTCTTGTTCATTTGGCTAGTCCAAAACATTTTCCTGTTTCATGTTACATCTTTTGTGAAATCAAATTCCAGATCTCACTTTCCTGTCTAAAAAAAAAAAAAATGTGCCTCTTCTGCATTCAGGTCCCTGAACCTGCAGTCCAGTTGACTTCATATATATTTTCATAACACAACTTTTGTCCTTTGGAAACTAAGAAACCTATCTACCGCTAAGAAATTGTAAGAATGCAGAAAGTAAAGCTGGATACGCTTGTAAAAACTCAATCCCTGATTTACTTTTTGCAACCTGCTCTTCCATAATGTCCTTGCAAATTGGTTCACACTTGGCAGGATCACTTCTTCTTGTTGGTTCAGATTGTATTGACTGTCATGTCCAGGATTAACTAGCTCCTATCATTAATAGTATTTGTTGTCCAATCTGTTCTAGACCAATTTCTCTCCCATAATGAAACTCGTCCTGATACAATTCTTAACATTAGAGTTCTAGCACACCCCTTATACTATCGAATAAGCCTCTTTGTTATGATCCTTTCTTTTGAATGTATTATAATCCAAACCGATCCTGTATTTATCTGTGGTTCCTTATTTTTTTTTAGTCCATCATATTAAGTCACAAAGCTGCCCTACCACCTTTACTCTTATTTCAGTTTTTCCTGAACACCATGTGCCCACCAGTACTTAATGATTTCTATTGTACTGTTTTTCTTATCCCTGTAATATCCAGTTTTCATGTCCTGTGCTAAGTAGTTCAAGCATTACCATTGTGCTGCTTGGTCTCCTTGCATTAATTATACCACTACAAATTGTATTAGTATTCAGTTGTTTCTTGCTGGCCGGATCTTTTTGACTGGAGGAAGCATAGTTTTTTCACTATCACATGCTGTAATTACTATTCTTACCAACGTTAATTTACTATCTCCCTGCTGTCCATATTCCAACCGTCAAATATTCCTTTGTCCGTTGCTATATTTTCACTTTATCCATTTTTGTTCTTTTCCAGTTTACTAAAACCAGGCAAGAAGTTATGCGCACCACTCCCAGCCTTCTCCCCTCGTTCTTTTTATTGCTTTTATCAGCCGTAATCCCAAAGGCACAAGCTTGATTTATTTTGGGGCATGAGGGAATTGTAGGAGAGAACAGGATTTTGCTGCATGCAAAATGTTTAGGGAGTAAATTTACTGTTCTTTTTCAGAATTCTCCCATATACAGTGGCTACTAGATTTGGTCTAGTGTTTTTAAGTTTGTTGTTGGTGGGTTTTTTTTTTTTTTTTAATGGTCTGAAAGTAGAATTGCAGTTTAAGTATAAATACCTTGCTCTTGTCTCTCTCTTCTTCAGATCAGTTTATGGCTAACATGAATGAACAGTCTTCATATTATTTGAAATAGCATTATATAAACTAACAGTATTCAAAAGACACCATTTCAGGGGCTTCTCCCGCTATACAGCAACTGATCCACACATGCTTGTTTAATGGCTATAAAATTTATGATCTAATATATATATTTTTGTTTGCAGCTACAACAAAATGTTGTTTCAGCAATATTTTTCATACCTTGCAGAAGTCTTAAATGGCTTATAAAAATAGTTGTTACACTGCAGAGTTATTGCATATATGTTCTTTCCTTGCAGTTCAACTTTGTGGGAAAGCTTTTGGGTCCACGTGGCAATTCACTGAAACGTTTACAGGAAGAAACCTTGACAAAAATGTCTATATTGGGAAAAGGTTCCATGAGGGACAAAGCAAAGGTAAATCAAATAGCTGAAAAGTGTTAATGATCTGCAGCATGTTTTCCTTCTACTTTTCCTTCATGTAAAATGATTGGTAGGAGAGTATAGGAGGAAATTGTTGAAAACAGAACAAAAACCCTTAAGCCTATAGCTTTGACAGTCTCAAGATATGGAATAAATTTTAGGCCACTGGTGTAATGTTATTAACTTTCAAACACTTGCTGTCTAATGCCATGTATGCAGTTGTATAGACAAAATAATGAAGAATTTTGCTCACAATGTGTTTTTTGCCTCTTTTTTACAGAAATGGGAAGGCTGTATTTTCACATACCGGTGTCCTAACTTATATTGTGTGGGAATATGAATAGCATGCAATACTAGAACTTGTAACATGTTGAAGGGGAGGGAGAAGCTTGAACTTTTAATTACAAGGGTGATATGTTGTTTAGCAGTTGCACAATGTGTATATGTATAAACTTTTTCCTGAGCACTAAGAGATGTGTAGCTTCCTGTTGGGACCCAGCTCACTGCACACTTGTTTAGTGACTTTCATAACCAGCCTCTATACCAAAAAGTTCACATTCTGGATTTTGTCAAGAGATCATGGGCATAGGAGACAAATGGGTATATGGGCTGAATTAAACACAGGCCAAGCTGACTAGAAAAACCTGGCTCAAAGTATTGTCCTATTAATTTTGATTCTGCCATTTAGTAAATATTCTTAGTCTTCTGGAAGAGCAGATACCAATGTGGCAGTTTTTGTTGGCTTGCATATTTGCCAACAGCTCCAGCATGCTGCTGAGATGTTCCTTTTTGGGGCATGGCTTAGCTCACCTGTGCTTCCTTCTGCTGACTCTTCAGTGTAAGAACAAAAGTACTGCTGGTAGTAAAAATAGTGTCCATTTCATTGAATTTGGGAGAAGGGGCAAGCTAAAAAGATCCATATGAAAAAGATTCCATATGAATTCCCCTATTTGTTTTGGGGATTACATGTTTGTTTCAGAATATTTTTTTCACTTCCAGCTTTCTGGCTTCACTTAAGGCACCATTTGCAAAGGAACAGGTACAGTGATGTTCCGTATTCTGGTGTCTAACTTCGAGCTCCAGATAGACGCCTAACTCTGATATGTGAATTCTCTATTTTAAATGGGGGAAACTGAAGTTTCTAAGAGTGAGATCCGCAACACGCACGGGATCTGAAATCCTGCCTCTCCTAGATGCCTGAGACTAGGATTCATAGCCCCAAATTTGCACTCAGACTTAGGTGCCCGAGTTGTTTTGTTTTTGTTTTTTCCTCCAGTGGTAGGGGTTGTAGGCTCTTGAACAATAGTGCAAGCCATGGGCCTCCAGGCCATATCCCTCTCCCTTCTCACTGGACCACATGTGGGGCAGCTGTTGCACTGTGGATGGGGGTGGCCCCCACTCGGCTCCCTTGCTGCGCTGCACCATGGTCTTCCCTGTCGCCCTGGGCTGCGCTGCCCTACCCCTGGGGCAGGAGCAGGAAGCAAAAGCTGGTGGAGGGAGGGGGGAGCTTAGAGACTGCGGTAGCAGCTGGTAGAAGGTAGCAGGTAGGAGCCTGCAGGCTACCAGTTGGTCAGCCTTGGTGTACAGTATGGGGATTTGTTCTCCATTTCTGTCTCCAGGAGAATGGTCTCATTGATGCTTTCTCTCCAGCCTGTCAGTCTTGCATTCTTTTTAAGGCATGACCTAGTTTCAGCAGGTGAAGGGAATGAATGCCCCCACTTACCCCCCTCAGTAGCCTAGTGCTCACATCACTCTGCAGGGAAGTAGATGTGGGTTTGAACCTTCTTGGGCGGAGGGCTTAGAATCCAGTGCTCTAACGATTAAGCTATTTAAGTGAAAGATGACTTCCATCTTCCCCTTTCTCCACTGTTGCTGGCTGAAAGTAGCAACGAGTGCTGACTTGACATGTATGTGATGTATGTCAAGTGTGCCTGAGTATACATCTTTTTATTTAAGGAACATCAGGAAACTTGGGTACAAGGCTGCTTCATTTCTGGATCCTGAGCACAGCAGTGGGATTGACCCTCCTGAGCCATTGAGGGTCCTGTTCCCTGCATTTGCCCTAAATGGACCTCCACATTCCACTTAACCTTCATGTACACAATTATAAATCACAATACCAGAAATGCTATGAATGCCCTATAAAATGCTAAATGTAAAGGCAAAGGAAACTAGGATACTGCCACAATACATTGCCACTGCAGTGATGGGGAAGTAGGTGGTTAATATAGACTCAGAAGTTCCTAGAAAAAGGATAATTCTCTTTTCCTATAGTCTGCCAGTTTGGCCTATTGGAGAAATTTCCTTCTGATTTCCAGATTTGGCATTTTGTTTGACCCTGAGCAAAACCATCTAGCCAGAAGGCTTAGCATGCACTGTTGACATCCCCACAAGCATTAGCTGTAGTTAATATCCTGATACTTCAGATAAAGGCATCAGAGTTCCTCACCAGAAGGCAGTAGCATTCATGGAGGTGGAGA